TCTTGTAAAGCATTAACCACCATATATATAGAAGTAAAGCACTGTGTGTGTTATATGAGTATGTACATGCATCTCTCTCTTCCATTTTATGGACATATATACAAATATCTGTACAAGTGTATAATTGTACAAATATACATATATACAAATATATATTTTTCCAGCAGCATCAGCATCACCCACTTCATCCCAGCCCTACTGAATCAAAATTGGCATTTTAAAATAAACAAAATTCATATTATAATTAGAAATCATTGTGTTATGTGGTATACTTACAGTATGATTCCTCCCCCCCTTCTCCATCTCCCTCTCTCTCCACAACACACACATACATGAAGCAACCAGAGAGCTAGGCAGTGATACCAAACAAGAAAGGAGATTTATCATTTTCAGTCCATAAAAGACTAATCTAGAAAAATATTCTCTATTTTAACGAGAACTGACCATCAGTCCTAGTAGAAAGGTAGAAGGTATTATTGAATGGCTCATTCCTGGAATGGCAATGACTATTTGTCAAGAATGAGGCAGAATGGATCATTACAATGAAATTTTGAATTAGATAATCTAAGAAATGCCTGCCAATTTTGTAACTCTACTATGAAGATACACTTGTGTATTTATAGATATATACTCTAACCGGAATTCTTCTATTCCTACTTTCTATCAATATCTTTAGATCTGTTTTGTATGAGCCTAAAGCTATAGGTGACAGGTGGTGTTTTTTTAAATTCAAAGATTTTAAATGATTTCCTTCTAAAACCATAATACTTTATTGATCTAATCTAGTGTTAGTTTTATCAGAAATAGCATAATTTGCATCCCCATTGCTATTCAGTGACTATTTCTTTATTTGCAGCAACTATTAAGGAGAAGGTAGAACATTTGGGAGATTGTATTAGTGCAGTTATATATATGCTTATATATAATCACCAAACAAATCTACTAGACATGTGACCAACACTGTCATTCAGCCAAGAGTCAAGAGCAGTTGCCAGGCTTGCCAATAGATGCTCCTAGACTTAGGACGGGGTTATGTCCCAACAAACCCACCATAAAGTGAAAGTATCATAAGTTGGAAATGCATTTAATACACCTAACCTACCAAACATCATAGCTTAGCCCCGCCTACCTTAAGTGTGCTCAGAGCACTGGGCAAAACAACCTCGCTGCCACTGCCCAGGTCAGGAGCATATCATACTGCGTGTTGCTGGGCCAGGAAAAGATCAAAATTCAGAGTTCAGTTTCTACTAAACACGTATCACTTTTGCACATTCGTAAAGTCAAAACATTTTAAGGCAAACCATCATAAGCCAGGACCCTCTGGACAGTCCTTTACTAACCCTGAGCATTTTGGCTCGGGTCAAAAGGTCAAGACAAATGATCTGGAGGGCATACTTATTCATTCATGGGTTTTGGTTTTTGTTAACATATAGAAAGCTGTACATACTTGATGTGCGCAGCTTGATGAGTTTGAAGATAAGCATGCACAATGAAACCGTCACCGTAATCTAGACCACAACCATATTTATCACCTCCGAAAGTTTCCTCCCATCCTCTTTATTTACTGTGTGTGTGTGAGAAGAACACTGAACATGAGATCTGCCCTCTCAGCCAGTTTTTAAGTGTACAGTTCAGTACTGCTAACAACAGGCGCTACAGTGTCCAGTCCACCCCCAGGACTTCATCTTGCACAACTGAAACTTTGTGCTTCCATGCCTTCAGCCATAGTCTAGAAAACAAACCTAAGACATGGTTTTATCTCCTTCAAAGCTTGTGAACTAAATAAATGAACATGCCTGACTGATGCAGATCATGATTGTTTAGGGCAACCGTATGATCGAGTTGGGTTTAGTTTTACAACATACGTTTTAGAAGCAATGGTATTATATCATTCTTTGTGCTTATATCTTGGTTTATCATAATACTAATGTATCATATTTTTCAAATTTAAAGATGCTTATATATTTTTCTTTCTTTCCAATACCAATGCTTCTGAGATCCATTTTAGAAGGGGGCTTTCAGACAGCAATGATCAAGAGTCCATGATATATAAATTTTCACTCCTGATTATTAGATGAAATAATTCAAAACTCATTTTCTATTTGGGAATGTGTGTACCTTCAGATAAGATAATATTGACCAAGTTAGAAATTTCATATATTAAGGCTAATAAATAGCACCAACCCTTGGATATGCAAGGAGGTCATCCTTGAATTTTCATTCTCACCAAGATATTGCCATGGTATTCGTTCTTTTATTTAACCATGAAAAGAAAGAAAAAAATTAACAATGTCACTTGATGCAACAATAATTCAAAAACCAGCTACAATATATAATTTTAAATTATCCCATGAAAATTTTTATTTTATCAAATATTTCTAAGCAGACCCTTCTAGGTTATGTTTTAATTAAAATTTTAATTGAAGGTTTACAAATTTGCAGTTTATGATATGTCTAATTTCTGCTTCAAGTATTCTGACATTTATTTTTAAGTCATTATTTTATATGTGATCCACCACATTGTTTACATTGCATTTGCCATTTCATATAAGTTATACAAAGTAGAGTTTTAGTCTCCATCAGCCACTCCTGCACAAGGATTTTGGAAGAAAAGAATAGAAATAATCACATCTCTGTAGCTCATTTGGGGAGAATACTATTTAAATTTGTTCTTAATGTACGGCTGAAATTAATCTTGATTTCCCGTCAAATGTACAGGGATTTTACAGTATAGTTCAGAATAGTGTTTAATTCCTCTTGGGAGTAAGTTAAGATAAACAAGTCACTGACAGTGTTTATCTATAAATATAGCAGATGGTGTGGGACTGAGGTTGGTTATTAACTCTGCCGACTTTAATTTCATGGTTATAAAACACTGTAAACCTCACTGTTTATAAAAGGCCAGGGAAGAATCTCCAATGGGCTTCAGTAGCCAAGAAACCCTCTGTAACATTAATCTCCCTAACTGATATTCGGTACCCTCCTAGGGTGCAATATTGAAGATTGTGGAGTGATTGCTAGACACTTTAAAATTTTCACTGGGATCATTAGCTAGCATTTCTGTCATTGATCTATTATAAGCTTGTTAATGAGTTCCATGTGAGTGAAATTTAGTGAATGAGATGATTCTTTCTAAACTTTGCTAGGTGAATGTTTAATAATTACTTTAGGCAGTTATACACCTAAAGGATAGTCTAATTTGTCAAAATAATACCTTTTTTCTTATGCAAAGGTAAATCATGATACCAAACTAGACCAAATGTACTTAGAGAGAGAATTTCAAAAAAAACAACAACACTGTAGCATCATTTGAATAATCAATGTACATTATATACATTAACCTTTAGGCCATGAATCTGTCTGAAATGTCACAAAATGGCACTGAATTAAAAAGAAGCAACATAATTTATCCTTCACATTCAAAATTGGTTTCAATATAATATTTTATTATAATCACTTATTTCACTAAAAATCTGTATACAAAATTTGAATAAAATTAATTCTTCCAGAAAGTACCACCATTATAAAAGTGATATGATTTGAAATAGCTCAATTTCTCCATTTCAACTTTACAGTGAATAACAATATTTTAAACCCACAAAAGCGAAAAAATTTTTACAAGCTCTATATTACTTTAAATTCAAAAAAGGTTGATTTTTAAAATTTCTAAGCAGGTCAGACTTCTATAAATATTACATGATAACCCAATATGTGAATTAGGGATTAAAAAAGTCTTGAACTAAAAATATCTTAACTGTATTAGAGTTTATACTCCTTGAGAATGAGTTTTCTAATTACAAAGTCCTCAGTTACTTTTCTGTCACTTATATTGTGCTGCTTCTCCTGGGTCCATCCTGAGAGTTTGGGTACTAATCTAAAATAGGCTGTGTCCTGGGCTTTCTACCAATTGTCCCTAAGGTAGACCTCCAACCTTGGTTTCCAAGGAGCTGGCCTCTGAACAGCAACCTCCCTGGGTAGAGAAAGAACTAAATGGAACTGTTGGTATATTTTCTCATCTCCCCTCCTGTTCTGAGCCTACTGTCACTAGGTGTCATGTGACATATTGTCCTGCTACTTGATACACTCATTTCTGCAAAAAAACCATCTACTCATACTTGGACTTCCAGGTCTCAGAATGCATGAAGAATTATAACAGATGACAGCAAAGCCTCCCTCAAGTGAGGGCTTTATCTTGCGTTGTTGTTGTTTTTTAATGCCTCAAAACTCACCTGAATCAACATCATCAAAGAACTTGGTTATTGGGTTATTGGTGTGCTTGGCAATATTGATGTTCAGTTGATTCAAAACTAGGGGTCATTTCACTTCAAAATTATTCATAAAAGTCACCTAAAGTAGCTCTATCAATTTATTTTAAGGATTGCATCTTTTCCTCTTGTGTTTTGCAAAGTGAGGTGAAAATGTGTTTTGCAAAACATGTCATGAAGATTAGGGTCACAGAGTGGCCAAAAGGACCCCTTAAGTGAGTCAAAGATAGGTAATAATAGAAACTGTGAAGGGGTTAAAAAAGGGAAACAGAATAGGGGGAATAAGTAGAGCTGGATATTGAAATTCTGACTAGAGAGGTGAACAGAGTGATTAGTTTCAGGACTCTCCTTGGATCTTAGGGAAATGAGATACCATTAAAAGCACATTGAAATAATCTCTCACGTAAACAAGGAATCTTTTTCAATATCCCAATGGCAGCCTAAAGTTACCGTCTTTTCACCCCTAGTCTGTATATATAACTATCTTATGAAATGTACTCTTTTTTCTAATCATGCTTTGAAAAAAAGTTTTTATAAGGAAATTATCTGATTAAAAGGTGAAAAAAAAGCTGGTACAATTTAAGAAAAATGTACCCCTTATCTATTATATTTTATTAAAATAGTATCAGAGAAATAAATTGCTCCCTTATAATATAAAGCAAATTACAACCCATGGGATAAAAATAATGCATTAACTCTAAAGGCTTTAATCGCATTTTCATTATTTTCTTTCAGATTATTCGGTTCTGTCTAATGTCAAAGGCATTGCGCTGCATAAAAGAAAACATGCAAAGGAAATAACTCTAAGTGGATTTCATTCCCCCTTCAACGGTCAGTTAAGAATCAAACCTCTGTACTATTTTTTATTATTTATTCTCTAGAAATCCAGTAATTTTTTTTTAATCTTTTGTTTCCAGGAGAAGTAATTTATGGTGTCATGGGCATGACGGTCACCTGTGGAATCCTTCTCTTGGTTATGTTCAAGCTGAGGTAACTGGATACAGTTCAGAAGGGAAGGGCTGGAGCTGAGTCAGCCCTGTTAAAGCACAGTTCACAATGGCACAGCTCACACAGGGCCTGAGAATGAAAGCTTCTCCGTTAAGACCTACTAAATCAACTTTTAATGTGGGCTGGGTCCATGGAAACGTTACTCTCAGTCATCATACGTAGGGGAAATGTGATCATAAGGGAATTTTTTACATTGCATTTTACAAGCACATACGTATTGTTCCCCCAATTAAAGTGTTATCAATCTTTTCCTTGGTTTTCTTACAGAATCCAAATTGAACGTTGCTGCCTTCCCTCTTCAACTCGCTTGCAGGATTAATCAGCTTACATAATGGACCTGCTGTGTACTTTATACAGCTTATATTTACCTAAAGATGTCCTCTTCATTCTAATTTTTTAGATGCTAATGAATTTTATTCATGTTTAATATACAATCATTAAGGCTTGTGTAATTGGAGGCATCACAGGGTATCATTAGAAAGACATGACTTCTGCCTGACATTAATTCTCTCTTTCCAAATCCTTTTTCGAAGCTGCTTTCATGGCTCAAATGCAGTAATGCCCCAGCAGGCATGTGAGATCGCAGGTTAGAGACAGCAATCTCTAGATTTCTCAATATCTAGGGCTTAAAAATCTTCCACTTATTTACCATTCACAAGTAGATATAAAGTGGTATGCAGTTGATTACTTCAATTTAAAAAAATAACCTCATATTTAAAAATCAGTGATGTTGATTTGCTAACTCATTATATCTATGGGTATCTTTGTATATAATTTGAATACCATAAATTTTAATGAAGAAATATATATATATGTGCATATACATTGTATATGTTATACAAACACAAAATACATGTAGCAGTAAGGTTAGGCCGAGAGAGCAACAGAGGCAATGGATGTCTCCCAGAGGGAGACAGAGTGAGCACTGCCAGGCACCTGCAGACTGCTCCTCCAGAAACCTCAACTTCACGTCCTTGAAAAAACAGGCAGATAAAATGAAAGACTGAAGTGGGGAGGAATGTGGCAATACCAAGGGGCAGGCACATGAAGAGTGTATGCTTTTCCTACGGACATTCAATAATATTTATTTTTAATAGCAATGCCAGCTAAACATATCCACTTGTTTAATCCAACTTCTCTAAACACTTAATTCGATGCTTACCAATACTAGTACCAAAACAAACTGTTTTCTTCCAAGGCCTTAAAAGTCATATTTGTATGAGAAGCTATTTCTTAAATTCCAAGGTAGGTTTAAAGGCTAAATAATTAGTCAGTTTCAAGAGGAAAAATAGCATTTGGAATTTATTCAACTTTCCTTTATTTACTTTAAAATATTCAAGAGCACTGTTCAGTTCCTGGGCCTGCCTAGATAGCCCATCAAAGACATATTGTTTCAGAGAAGCACAAATGGTTTTCTAGCAAAAAAATTCATTTTAAGTGTTGTCAATCTTTATTTTTTTAGCCCCACATATAATGTATCAAGTGCATATCTGCCACACAGGCCCGTGGGATTTTACAGATTACTGTTGTTCTGTTGTTCCACAGATAAATAAGGTGATGGCCATTTAAAACTCCTGTGTATCAGCTATAACCTTACCTCTTTCCTTCCCTGCATAAAGAGGCATATCCCTTTACTGGATGCCAATGGGAGTGTTACAGACAAAAATCTTAATTTACTCTACTATGTATTTTAAAGCAAATCATTCATATTGTTAAGTATGTTACATTTAGTTACAAATTGTTTTTCATATAATTTAAGATTGATCCTTACCTGTAATCTGAAAGGTCCACACCCAGGGTTAAGTCAATGATAGAAGTAGAAGCCACCATGGAAAGAAAGAATAAAGCAAAGCAAAAGCATTGTTAACCGCCAAACCTGCATCGCCCCACAGTTGGAGATAAATAAGCCCTTCTCCAGGAAAGAAGGCTGAATGCCACTCACCTGGTAGTCAGGTCTAATCCACCTGAACAGCTTTCTCGGGGAAAGATGAAAGCTTTTGCATTTGTTTCATGCTGAATTAAAGCAGCCCTAAATCATCAAAGAAATTTGCAGAGAAACCAATAATTTAAAACACAAATACTTGAGAAAACAAAGGACTCCTTTTCCTTTTGAAAATGATTACTTGGAAATCATAGTTAAATGCATGCTATCTCTTAGAAAGGCCATAGAATATTCTACTGTAGGGTCTTCACATTCAGAAGTTGATTAATTGTCCCATCCAGGCACAGAATCCATCCAAAAATATAAGCACACATACGTTTGTAAAATCCTTAAAATGGTATATTGTTAACTTTTAGTTCTACTTTTTTTTTTATATAGAACCTTCAGAATATCAAGTCAAACCAGAGACCCTTCACCAATCCAAATACCGGGAGGGAGGACTCATGGTCCATTAAGAGTCTCGGATCATTAACAACCACTTCCTCTCAAGCAAGTCTTTCTAGCCAGTCAACAGACCATCCTGTTCATCATCAATAAAGAAAATGTTAAGAAGGATTTAATGATATCGTATCATTAAGTATAATAATGTAAGGTATAATAATATGGCATGTGTTCAATTTATTTTTTCTTAAGAAAATATTTAAGTATAAATATACAGTGGTATCTTTTATGACACTAATACAGAATTACAGAATTGCCCTTGAAGACAAAAAGTGTTTTCCTAAGTTACAGCCTGCATGATTTATTTCATGATAAATTTGAATCCATAAAATGGTAATTAGTTGCATCATAATATGACATTAGCAGGGTTTTGTTGGGGTTTTTTTCTGGTCAATTTTTACAAATTCCCATTAACATGCCAAAAGAAAAATGCTAATAAAATATCTAGTATATTTATTATTTGTTTATCTATTTTCAAATCATTAGCTAAATTATTAGCATTGACTTTAAATTCCTAAATATACTTGGTTAGAAGATTAGTCTTAAAAATTGGAAGTGATATCTTTGGATTTTTAAAATTTGAATATTGTTGAACTTTACTTTTTATCTTTATGTCTTTATTTCTTAATCATAAAGCTGTAAAGCAACTATACTGGCTGAAAAATTAGTGTATATTTCAATAATAATATATTCTATTTACGAATGTAATTTTTCCTATGCTAACTATGAACTTCTGCAATAACAAGGTAATATCATAATTGTTACTTTCTACATTGCCTCCATATTGTGACTTTTGGCTAGATTTGACATCAGAGTAGTTATGATTAGAAATTGTGAAAAAGATGTTTATTAAGTTTTTTTATACATATATGCTTTTGAACTGTCTGCAATCATAGTTGTGCCCATTGCTGAGAATAAATGAGATTTTTTAAATCTATACTGGCACAGAGGCACAAATATTCAATAACCCACCCATACAAATAATTAGTAACATATTTACAATTAAAGGTCAAACATTTTATATCTGTTTGGTATCATCTATTGCTGTTCACTACACTTCGGATCAAGTTATCTACATTAAATTAAATTTGAAGTTAAATTCAACTACGTTTACTCAGAGTAATTTAAAAAGTCATCCTTTATCTTATAAAACAAGGAGGAATAATTGGTGAGTCATAAATCTCCCTCAAGGAGTTCATCGTATTCCAGTGGCTGTCAACTCTCTCAGTTAAACTCAATGTGAAGAGAACATGGGCATCACCGTCTCCACAACCGCCATTAAACTGAGGCTTGCTAACGCCTGGGAAAACATGAACCCCTCTCTGGGAAACTGAGGAAAGAAGCCAAGTTGCTTTTAGAAAAATGTTTGCATTGAACGAGAGAAGAGGCATTCAGAGCATGAAGGAGCAGGCCTCCCTTCACAACAACCTCGTCTCCTAGGCAGGGCAGCAGAAGCAGGGGTCAGCAAGAAACATTTAGAGAACTTGAAATAGCTGCTTCTGGAGCAGGGAGCCCAGATTAAAATAATATGGGATGTAAAACAAACGTATAAGACAGTCCTCAGGACTGAGTCAGTAAAGGTCCTTAAACATGAGGCGGAGGAGTTGAGACCCTCTAGGCCTGGCTTGTGAGCCTCTGCAGGACATGGCTCTCATCTTTTACTCTCCTGTTCTCTGCAAGCCCCTTTCTAACAGCCTTCCCTGCCCCCCAAGAGCTCAGGCACTCTTGCTCAGAGCCACCTTATATTACTACACTTCCCTACAATTTATTCTTCTTTATTGTTACTCGCAGCAAATTGTAAGCACTCTGATTGAATCTGTTGGCTCATCTCTGATTTCCATTCCTTTACACATAGGGTATGTTCAATAAAAATTGTTCAGTGAATGGATTGCTTCACTTCTACCACTGCGCAGTGCCAAAAAACATTTTAAACAAGGAAGTGACATCGTCAGATTTATGAATGAGAAAAGGCATGCTGGCAGACATGTAAACGGTGGACTGAAGATGGCGAAAACTGATGGCAAGGAGACCGCCTAAAAATGTACTGTGATGTTTAGCATATAAGTATTGAAAGCCTGCATTAATTCACTTGCTCAACACTTATTTATTGCGCCACTGCATGTGCCAGCACTAGGTGCCAGAGATAGAGTGCTGAATAAAGTCTTCTTGCAGATTCGAAAAAACAAAAAAGAAAGCAGTTTCTAAAAATGATAGATGCTGCTAAGAAGTGGTAGGAGGAGTGACGATAGAGTCTTTTGAAGAGAAGTGGTAGTGATAGGAGAAAACAGAATGAACATAAATGTTTCATAAATAGAAGAGATGGGAATTTAGGATTACATATTTGCAGAGAACTGATGTTGTAAAGACT